ATGTATTCCTTTCATTTCCCCTTTCAGTTTCTTCGCCATGAATTGCATAAATATGAATAATAGTCATCAATTAAGGCAAAAGATCTTCAAAGTCTTTCATCAGTTTCTCATTTATGTCTCTCTCTGTTCATTTCACCTTTCTGTTTCTCTCACGCACACTCGCTCCCTTTCATCTTGCTTGCAATTACCTGCCTGAACCTCATTTATATGTTTAATTCACTTTATGATTACAGGTACATTCTCTCACTCTCTAGTAATTATTGCCAGGGCAGGATGTGATTGGCATGTATAATGGTGGTTAGTCTCAACAATGGACTCTGCAGTTCCTTCTCTCTCCTGAGAAATAATGTATGGCTTCCTCTAAGTTTCACTGTGCTGAGGGAGAAATGTCACCTAAGCCTAAAAGCCAAGTCTTATAGTACATTTTGAGTCAAATTCTCAACTGGTGCAAATCAACGCAGCTCTTTGTTTTTGATGGCAATTTACGCCAGCTAAGAATCTGGCCCTTTATTTTTGTGTACCATATTTTATACACAGTAGGTATTGCAGAATGTTTTACAGCTATATGCTCTGCAGGCAAATGGAAAGGTGGGAGGGCGGGTGAATTGAAAAATAATGTACTATAGAGTTAATGTCTGTGGAAACGGTAGCACAGGGAGCAAAAGATATAAAGGCCAAATTACAGCCAGGGAGAGCCTCTGAGCGTAAGGTAATCTGGGCAGCTCAGAGAGTGGAATTTATTGTTTTAATGCAGAAAGAGTTAGGAGTCATCCAGATGAGGGAGCACTGATCATCAAATTCAATATGAAGAAAGCCAGAGAGGATGTTATATTTAATGGAGGAAGGGGGGAGGGAGTAGCATGGGAGAAGGCTCTACATTAAGGGAAGGGGGAAACAGAAAAAAGCCAAATGTTTAAAGACCTTAAATCCAAAGGCCTGATCCAGAATCAACTGAGCTCAATAGGAGTCTTTCCACTGTTTCAGCTGGTATTGGATCAAGACCCACAGTTATGCAATCCTGGATTCCTGCAAACGGTAGGTCCCCTGTTTCCGCTCCGCACTGTTCACACAAGAATGAGCCACCTGAATTCTGCTCAGGAAGATTTGCTTCAAACAAAATAGGATGGATTTTCTTTCAAGGTCAGTGCATACATGTTATGATGAAAAGTAACATTGTGCCCAGATACCAGGTCAACTACCCTTTGCATTTTCCTCACCCATATGTGCAGTGTAGATGGTGGCAGTGGATTGAAACAGGAGAGTACCCAAAAGTCATTTCAAACCAAAAAAACAAAACTTAGTTTTGATAATGTCGAAAAGAGACATTTTAATAATTTTGAAACTTTTTTTCAATTTTGTTTTTTGAAAGGGGAGATTTGCAAAAGCAACTCTTTCCCATAATCAAAGTTCTGCTTTAGCAAATCAGTATTTTCTGATGAAAAACCTTTTTGTTGAAAAACTCCCAATCAGCTCTAATATTTTGCACTTCTCAGCATTACTACTCCGGGGACATCTCTTAGGCTAAGGTGATTGTATCTGGTACAATCAGTTCCCAATGTCTGAAGGAAGAAATAAGCATCTTATCATTACTTAGAATCTCCAAATTCAACTAATGACCAAACGTCGTCATAAATTGTCCACGATGAACTGTTACATGGTGATTTATTTGCAGAGAAATGTCATCTGGGAGTGCAGAGTGCAAAGTGGAGGTGACCGTTGTTTTCCCCATATCTCCCTGGTGTAGGCACCTCCATTTATTGACTTGCAAAGTAGCAATTTCTGAAGATTTAATTATTTGCTTTTCTATATCCAGCCACCAGTGCCATTATTCCCAGATCTGGAAGTTGAACTCTCTGAGGTGCACACTCAATTGTTAAAAAATTTCCTTTCAGCACTTTTTTGATGGGTTGTTTGGAAGATAATGATGTTACAGACATGCCTTTTTCATACTAAATATTTGTCTAAAAAGAGGACACCTGCTCTGCACATACCTCCCGTCTCCCTGTTTCTGTGGATAACTGGATGCTTTTTAATAAAAGAGGGTTGATTTTTTTTTAAATAAAGAAATGCAAATTGTCAGTAAAAGTGTCTCTGCATCAGTGATATGTGTGGGAGACTGAAAAAAACCCCACCTCTAAGGCTGTAGCCACACTACTTCATGTTGTGAGCCTGTCAGATAGCCCAAGTTAGGTAGAAATGGACATGGTAAGTACTGGATTGAAAAATGCCATTGAACACCTAGGTGCTTTAGGAAGTAGGCAGTGTGCTACAGGTTGCCAGGCCCAGCATTTTCAGATTATGAAGGGCCCTGAGGTGGGTAATAGTAATGTAATCAGTGGTCAGGTTGCTTGGACAGCCTGATATAAAGCTCACTGAAGTGTGTCTTTCCAGTGTCACCCATGTGCTTTGGATTAGCATGCTCAGGCTTCTATAAAGTTTTGATTCACACTAGTCAAACTGATAGTGACTTACTACCCCTAAAACACTAGTGCTGGTCCCAGGCAATACAGTTTGGATCTGGATCCAAACTCAGCTAGGACTTGGCAGCATGGGAATCTGGGGGTTTGGTTCATATCTAATAAACATATTATTATTATTTATTTAGATTCAAAATGATAACCAGATGTGTATCCAAGGCTCTAGGCTCTCTAACACCTTTATTATTTATCCAATATAATGAATTCCCAGCAGCACTGAAAGAATCATTATAACAGGAATAGAGACAGACACCTGCAGATACTCCTTTTCACCCCCATCACTATAGAAAGCACACCCTCAGCCCTCTCCAAAAACCCCTCTCTAACAGATGTATTTTGCTGCATGCTCAGAAGGTCACTAAATTCAGGCTAGTTCAGATCAAGATGGGGAGCAAGTCTCATAGAGAAGGCCCAGCCAGCTGCCCCATCTTCTTCATAATGAGAAGGATCTAGGTCAGGTACCTCTGAGGAACACAGCTGTGGCAGTATGGCCTGGGGAGTGAGTAAAGTTGTCAGATGTCCGGTTTTCGATCGGAACGCCCAGTCAAAAAGGGACCCTGGTGGCTCCAGTTGGCACTGCCGGTTGGCACTATTCCCCATTTTGTATTCATTACTTTCCTGTTTAAAAAGATTCAGTTATCCAATCAGAGAGCAGCAACAATATAATGTGACTTAAATGTCCAGTTACACCTCAGGAGTAACAAACATTGAGTAAACAAAAGTTTCCTCCATTTGCAAACACCCCAAAAGCTGAAAATTGGTAGTATAAACTATTTAGTGAATACAGTACTTATGAATTTGTATTTGTACAAATAATGCATTTGTAGGATTTGGGATTTTTTCCCGGAATGGAAGAAAGGGCTATAATCATTTATAATGACTGAAGAATGAATGTTTTATTAGCTCTTTTCATAACATGCCTATGTTTGCAATGGACACTTTTTTTTAACTTGTCAGAAAGGTGCCAAGTGGGCTTAAAGTGTGTAAATTCTGAAGGTTCAGGTAAGTTCTTATTTGCCCCCAAATCATTTATTCAGCCACGTTTATTGTTTTGAAAGCACTGTATTCCAGAAATTGTGAGTCAAAGTTTGAAATCATATCTTGAACGCTGACGATTGCACATGGAGATTTTGGCAAAAAGAGATCTATGTGAATTTTAAGGAAGTCATCCTGGGCTGAATACCAGTCTGTGGAATTAGAAACAAAAAGATTATTTCTGTTCTGTTCCAAGTAATATCTCTGTAAAGTGAAAGAGAAAGAGTGCTACTGACCTGATCAGAGTTTGAATGAGAACTCTTATTTCCAGTGTTTGGAGACAAAAATAAAAAGAATCCTGGCTTTGCCACTGAGTGGCACATTAAAAATAAAAATAAGTTTTCATTTATCTTGACTATGGATGAAATCCTGAGTCTGTTGAAATCATTCAGCATTTTGCCATTGACTTCACTGGGGGCCAAGATTTCACGCTTTGACTTTAAAGCCACAAAAGTCTGTTATGGGGTTTGGTTTGGTTTAGTGTCCTCTGTTCACCAACAGTGCAATTATAGGCAGCAGGGAAACTGGGCCTCTGTTCCATGAAAAATTCGGAGATTTTTTCCCTTTTCTCTATGAAATGAAAACAAAAACAAAACATCAAAACCTCTGACTATTTTATGAAATGGAAAATCCCATCCCATTCAGTTCTACTGCTGGGCGTATTGTGGTGGTTGAGTCAGTGCTCTGCCCCCTCCCTGCCCTTCCTCACCCAAGTGCACATGTTGGGGAAGGCATAGCTCTGTGGAGCCTGCTTCCCCCTGTGCACAGGAAGTGGTGGTAAGAGTTTTCAGCAGAAGGAAAGAAGGGGGACCTTATTCTCCCTCTGTTCCCTTCTTCCAGTGCGAAGAAAAGGCCATGAGCTGGCTCTTGCTTGCTAGTTGAAATGATTCACACACTTGAGATGAATATATTTTCACCCCTAAATTATTTGCTTCAATTATATTTCAGAATTGTTGCTATTCTTCCCTAATCTTTTGCAGTGCATGATTGGTCACCTAAAATATATGGTACTTTTTCTTCTGTATGATTGGTCAAAAGCGTGAAATCTTGGCCCCCAGTGAAGTCAATGGCAAAATGCTGAATGATTTCAACAGACTCAGGATTTCATCCATAGTCAAGATAAATGAAAACTTATTTTTATTTTTAATTTTAATTTATTTTATTTATAATTTATTTGCCACTCAGTGGCAAAGCCAGGATTCTTTTTATTTTTATGAACAAGTTGAGGAAAGTCAAAGAGATTGGCCCAAGTTCCCCTGCCACCCTCTGGGGAAGTGGCACAGACCCAGTGGTGGAGAGTGGGCTGCCTGGGACAGTTTGCACAAAAGACTTTAATACCCTAGAAGGGAAGGACTATAGTGAGCTGGCCAGAGGGTAAAGTCACAAAGAGGAAGCTGAAGCTCCTGGAGCAAGAGGGCAACAGGGCAAGACAGGATGGATGAAGAGACTGTGAGAGGAGGGTAAAGCATCTGGAAAGAGCTAATTCCCAAAGTGACACAGAAGGAGGCATTACCTGCAGTGAGTGGACCCCGTCACAGAGCCATATGAGTACTTCTTGGGTGAACCTATGCACAAACATATAGTCACATAACAGTCCATCAGATATTTGCTTTCTGTAAACATATTCTTGCAAACAAAGAAACAAACAAAGAACAAGATTGTGGAAAATGGGTAAAAAGAGTCAAATTTCATCAAAGTGAGCTACAGGTATTCATCTGAACAATTGCTCGCAAATATATATTTTACAGTATGTACCCAGATTTTATTATAATCCTTTGATATCAAACACTGATTCTCCGCTCATTTATACCAGTGTAATTCAGGCATAACTCCACTGAAATCCATGAGTTGTACTGGTGTAAAACCAGTGTAAATGAGAGGGAAATCAGGTCCTCCAGATTTATGTTCAATCTGTATTAATCCAAAGACATGATCTTTTAATTTTTTATTCTGTTCTCAAAACCAGACAGAAAATGACCAAACATCTTTCCCTAGGCACACAGCCAAGAGCTTCCTAAATTGATCTGTTGTGATACACATCAGATGTTTATTCTAATACTGACTTCAGAAGTTTTGCCTTCATTCAGCAGAGAATTTTTGAAGACTCTGTGAGAGCATTAAATAGCTACGTCAACCAAATTAGTCCTTCGAGAAATAAATATCCAATATTTTAAAAGAAATTACAGGATCCTTTGAAATAGATAGTCTTACTGTCAATTACTCTCCATGTATGGCTATGTTTATCAATCAGGAGCTGCTTAAAGGCTACTTTGACACTTCACTATCTTTTTCCCCTTTCAAACGTGTTTTCCAGGATTCCCTGGAAACTTCAGAGTATTTACAGTACTGTTTATTCCAGAGGTTTACAGCCCCTAACGCATGTGTTAGTGAGATGAGTAATTAGGCAGACATAGTAGCCATGTAACTCTTTTAACTAACAATTCCTTTCCAAGCTCCCCCCTGTTGCTTCCTCAGCATGAAGCAGGGAAGATTCTGCTAACACAATCTAATTAGCTAAAACAAAGAGTATTTAAAGAGCATCTAGATCCCTCCAGATCCATTAAATTACAGCACATTCATCCCAGTGAAGAAGCCTCATAAGTTTCTCCTGGATTTAACTGTGATAATCCATTTTGTGGCAAATTGCCAACACTACTTTGATGGGTCTCATGCTTTCTCTTCTTCGGGAGGGATCAAGACACTGTTTCTCACTTCTGAACTGGGGTATTAACTGCCCCACTAGTGTCCTAGAGGAGGGGAATGGAGAGGGAGGGACACGAGCCCATCCTCTACTCCAGGTCCCAGCCTATGGGACCTAGGAATAGCAGTAAACCGCTTGAATTAGCTGTTCCTTCCTCTGGGCTACTTCCCTCTCCTGCCCTTCAGCTTGTGGGGCTTCCTGCCCTCCCTCTGCACAAACCAGGTGTCTCTTTACCTAGGGTCTTGGTCTTCTTAGCCCACCACAGCACTTCTCCAAACCCTCCTCTGCTTCCCTCCAAACTGCTCTCTGCTCCAACACCAATCCACTCTGTTTCAACTCCTCCAAACTTCTCTTTGCTCCAGCGCCAAGCCAATCTGCTTCAGCTCCTCCAAACTGCCTCTCTGCTCCAACATCGATCCACTCTGCTTCAACTCCTCCCCTTGTCTGATTGGGGGTTTTATCAGGTGACTGGCTTCAGGTGCTTTAATTAATCTATAGCAAACTTTCTTCCCTCTACAGGGAATAAGCTCCCTTCTAGCACTCTCCTGCTGCCCTCTGGCCTGGGCTTTCCTTGCTTTTTGCCCCTGCTTTAGTTCCCTCCCCCCCCCCCCCCCACCGGGCCAGATGCTTTTTCTTCGTTTTGTTTTGGTTTTTTTGCTGGTTTTTTTTTTTTGCTGCCATTCGAGTGCTGGTCAGCTGACAGCTTGCCTGCTAGCCCCCCCACGCCTGCCCTCGGACACCGCTATTGCTTCAGCTGCAACCCCCAGAGGAGGGGGGAGGACTGACCCGCTCCCCGGAGGAGGGGAGTGGACGCCCCCAGACCCAACCGTTTTGCTGTTTGTTTGTGGACCCGCAATTAATTGTCTTCTTATCTTTGCTTGGCATTTTTGGAATGCTCCACAAAGACCGGGAGAGAAGACAGCTGACAGAGACATCGCCCGGGGGAAGCTACAAATCATCGTGGAGGGGGCTGTAAGACTGAATAACTTTTGAACTGTATTCTCGTGTGGGGGGAGTTTGACTGCGTCTTTACTGCGTTTGTAGGGGCACAGGGGGTGTGGCACGGAGCTGCCCCCCGATCCATCGGTGCCCCCCCCAACACTACTGCAACCGTCACGGGCCCCCCGCCGTCCGTTCCTGCTGGCAACCTGCTGTCTGCCTCTAGCCTCAGCTGCTTGCTTTGAATTCCATCACCCGGACCAGACACAACAGCCGACCAAACAAGACTCTTTGGATAAACACACATGGGTCCGCGTTCCCACCCCCACCCCCAGACTGCCCACCCCACAGTTTGCCCCTACTACCTGACCCCCAACTCCTGTTTCCTTCCCCTGTCCAGTCCGACCCATTTGGCCCTCCAGCCCAACAGGGAGAAGTGATTAATCTGCTTCCCCCTCCCCCCCTCCTCCTTCTGGTGTCTCCCCGTCTCTCCCTGCTCACAATGGCGGGGAATGAAAGGGGTGAGGCCCCCTTAACAACCTCAGTTGCCCCTCCCCCACCTACGCCCCTGCCCAACCCCCAAGCCCCCCTCCCCACCACTGCTGCCAAAACACCTGCCACCGCCACCATTGGGGCATCGGCAGCCGGAGGCACCGGGTCGACTATTACCGCTGCTACGCCCACCGTCCCCCCAGATTCTAGGAAAGCCCCCCTGGTTAGACGGAAAGGCCAGGGTGCGAAGAAGGGGAAGGTCCCCGCCACAACCACCAAGCCCTCCATGGCAGAGGCTGCCCCCACCGCTGTGGCCTCGTCATCGACCATGGCATCCCTCCCCGCTGTTCCCTCCACCAGCTCTGCGAGCATCCCTCCCCCGGCCCCCAGGGCATATGCCCGGGCAGTGGCAGCCCACCCCCGCCTGCTGCCTCGTCATCTCGCCCACCCACCGCCTCCGCTATCATCAATAGTGGCCAGGGCCCCTTTCCCACCATGACCAGGAAGCATGGCGTCCGTTGCTTCCTGGTGCCCACCTCGCCCCACGTGAAGACATACGTGCAGGCGTTGGGGAGGGTGGTAGGACCCACGGCTATTGTGGCGGCCTCCAAAATGTACGGGAAGGTCGTCTTTTTCTTAGCATCGGAGGCTGCCGCCCAGGAGGCAGTGGAGAAGGGCCTGGCGGTGGGGGAGTGGGAGGGTGTTTGTCCCCCTGGAGCCGCTAGAAGACCTGGGCGTCCGCCTAGTCCTGACCTCCGTCCCTCCTTTTCTACCCAGTGCCGCCCTGTTACCCGCTCTGTCCACCCTGGGGAAACCCGTTTCTGTCATCAGCCCTCTCCCATTGGGCTGCAAGGACCCCACCCTCCGCCACATCCTTTCGTTCCACCGGCAAGTGCAGCTTCTACCGCCGCCGCCAGCACGTGACGGAGAGGCGCTCGAGGGGTCCTTCCTAGTCCCCTACCAGGGAGCCCACTATCGGGTCTACTATTCCACAGGAGAGGCCTGGTGCTACCTCTGCCGATCAGCGGGGCATGTCCGAAGAGACTGTCCCTTGGCCCAGCAGGGAGGGGCACCCGAGACCCCCGAGACCCGGCAGGACATCGGCTCCGTCGTTGCCGGTGCCCCTGGCTGCCCAACATCTGAAACCACCTCTCCTCCTGCTCGATCCACCGCTGCTCCTGCCTTGGCCCAAGAGACACCTCCCCTACAACGCCCAGACGAGCGAGGGAGCCCCGCCCTTGCTGTTCACAATCCAGCAGAGCCTATGGAGGAGGGTGCAGCAAAGATATTACCGGGCATAGGAGAGGGCCCGCCCCAAGGAGAACCACCCCCCCCCATGTTGCCTCACCGTTACCACCCCGAGCCTCTGAACCATCGCCTCTGCCCCCCGACACGACCCCTGCTAACCAGCCCCCAGACGATGCTATGGAGGGCTGGACCCTAGTCCAGGGAAAGCGAGGCAAGCGGAAGGCTCGAGCTCCGCTGCACCCATCTGATGTGGAGGCCCCCCGGAAGACCAGGAAGGGAGGCACTAACACTGAGCCTTCCGCTATGCCCACGAGTGAGATCCATCCACCGGTGTCAGGAGGGGGAAGACAAAATAGCACTGGAAGGTAGAATCTCCACTCCACGGGAGACCCTCCCCTCCGAGACCCCTGAGGAAGCCCCTTCTGCCCGAATATCACCCGAACCCCCCGTGAACCCTGAAGCGACCGTCAAGGCGGGCCACAGAGGAGGGGCCCCCAGGGTAGCAGAAGATGACCTCTCCTCCATGTATGAGGAGATTGAGGCCCTACGTTTGACCCCGGTCACCCGGGAAGACAATGATCTACTGCCGGCTGGCCTCGATCTGGGCAACCTTACCCCAGTCCCCCTTTCCCCATGCTCCCTCCCCCCTAACCGCTTTCCCAGGCGAGCACCCTGCAGAAGGTGGTCCACCACCTGAAGCCATGGCTGCCAAATCCACCACAGAGCCTGCGCCTAGTATCACTGGGAGGCTCCTCCCCACCCACTTAACCGTCGAATCTGTTCGGGAGGCACCACCTCTTAGCTGCTTGCCTCCGAAGCCCAGAGCCTCGCCTCTGCCCCCCCACCCCTGTCCCTGCCCAATCCACCTCCTCCTGCAATGCTATTGCCACCCCTGGGGTTATTTCTTTCCCGTTTTTTGCGGATCCCTCCCAAGGAGCAGCCTTTGCATTTTCCTGCCGCGACCCATTAGGAGCTGCAATTTTCCCTCCGCCATCCCCAAGGCTTGAGACAGACCTAATAACTTTAGCCTGTCAGATGCCCCGTCGGTGGTCTGCACCCTGCCTGCCTGCCTCAGCGGACAACGAGGCTGCACCAAGAGCCCCACCAGGGAATAACCCGGAAATTGCAACCCCACCCCCCCATGAGCTGCGAAAAGCGTTGCAACAGTTTTTAGAAGACATCCGT